ACTACTAAATGTGAGTAATAAGGAACAGAAATATGAAACTACATGGAAATGAAGCAGTGTTTATAAGGATCTCAAAATCAGAATCAATTACTGACTCCCCATACTACATTAGGAATGAATCCCGAAGGGTACACAATTAAGGAATCATGTATACATGTTTAGAAAATAATCTATATTGATCTTTATTTTGCTTTTACTTCCCTTTCCTGAGTTCACTTGTGCTAAGCTGAATGGAAGAGGGGCATTATGGAAGTTGGCAATTATTTTAAAAAGTCCAACTTAGGGAATTCTTGACTCCTTTGTACCAAGTACAGAACCATCTCTCCTCGTGGCCCTCCTAATTGTGACATGCCCATGAATATCTCTCTTTATATAATGTTAAAAGAACCATCATCTAAGCATTGGAGTCAGAAAAATGAGGAATCAGTTTCTTTTTATGCTTTAACAGGAATAGATGCTTACTTTGGGAAGTTCTCAAATAAGTGTAATAATTAAACTGTTTAGTGTTTTACAGGTTACTTTCTTAGATTATTACTATTATGTATTTATTTTACTTGTCCTCAGAATTCTCTAGAAACAAACAAACAATGAGTGGATATATATAAGGTGGCAGAGAGAGAGGGAGGAAAGAGACAGAGACAAGATACTAAGGAGTTGGCTCACTTGATTGTGAGGACTGACAATCTGAAATCCATAGGGTAAGTCATTATACCGGAAATTCAGGTAAGAGCTGATGTTGCAGTCTCAAACCTGAAATCCACAAAGCAGACCAAGCAGGCTGAAACAGCAGGGCTCCAGTGCTGTAGTATTGAGGCTCAGTTACTTTTGTTTTGGGGACCTTGTCTTCATACTTGAGATCTTCAACTGATTGGATGACACACATCATGTTTATTCAAAGCCTACTGATTTAAATATTCATCACATCTTTTAAAAATATACTTTTTTACAACAACTTGTGACCTGCCATCTTGTTTTGTCCTTTTTCTGAAATTTCCTAGAAGCTTTAAAATATCCAACATTGTTAACGACAGTCCCCATGCTGTTCATTACATTATGCAGGTTGTATTACATGCTGGGAGTTAATTATTTTACAACTGGAACTTTGTACCTTTTTACCACCTTCACCCATTTCACCCATCCCACCTCAATCCAACTCTTAAATAAATACTGGCAAATTAGGTGGTTCACTTCTAAGGTAAATAAGTTACAGTATCTGAGTTTCTCGTACAAGCCATTGCTTAAAAATATAAGATTTTATAGGTTTAGAGTTGTATTAAAATGAAGTATAAAATGATAGAAGGGTTCCTTATTCCCTCCCATGACTAGTCAAGGGATTCTTCCAGACTCATCTCCAGCCTTTCTCACATTTATACCATTTCACATTTTATGTGGTGCTTCATGTGCAGGATCTTCATTGAACCTTAAGAACCCTCAGTGGCAGATGAGGCAAATGTGAGGGTCAGTTTCTAAGAATACCAGTGCCTTTCTTTATTTAGCCATGTCCATGTAACATGCAATCCTCATGAAAATCACGAGCTAGCAATGATTTTTGTCTGGTATATTTTTGCAGATCAGGAAACTAGGGCTTGGAACTGAATGGAATTGTCCACACAGCCAGCAGAGGTAGAGCCTTGGGTTTTAATTCCCAGGCCTGTGTTCTTGTCACCATGAAACACCCACTATTCTCACCAAATACAACATCGACAAGTTGGTACATTGAGGCATCTCTGGCTTCCTTCATTCCTTCTTATAAATGCAACCAATCTTTGGTGTCTATAAATGCAAATGCCTTATTTTTAAATCCAGATGGTCATGTGACTGTGTCTAAGCGATGGATTTAAGATTTTGTTCAGGAAAGAATGTTCAACACAGAAGTACAATATTTATCAAAGCCTCTGCATTTGGATTCTTTATTCCTTAAGCAACCAAATTGTGTTTTTGTAATTCGAGCAAGATGACACATTCATTTGTTACTTGTCCTTGGTTTAGTTTGTGGACATGACAAGAATCAGCAAATGTTTCAATTTAAAAAGAGAATCAGAAAATGTTAAGAGGTGAACATTGTGCCACAACAAGTTAAAGTGCAGCACTGCAAGCTAGCCACAGCTGCTTCAGTGAGAGTTCGATCCCTGACCCCAGAGGTGACCCACATGGTGTGGCAGACCTCTCTTGTCTCACTCATTGCTCCCCTCAGCAGTGTACTTTGTCAGTCTGCCTCTTCTGCTCCCCACTCTGTCTCTGGTGAATCCTCTCACCGCCCCTGCACCTCTGGCCTGTACCCCTGTTCTGAATGCATAAATACATAAATCTTAAAAAAACAAAAAACAAAAAAAGAGAGCCGAAAGGAACCTTGGAGATGATCTAATCCAAACCTCCAAAGGGACTGACCAATATTACACAGATTATTGTTTGGAATTTCTGATTCATTTGCCATTTGCAAACATAAGCCTGTTTGTTGAAGCTGAGAGAACATCCGGCTCTGGAGTCCAGTTGTCAGAGGTGACAAGATTAAAACTTCACTTTTGCGTAGTTATGATATATGATGCACTACCTAAATGCTATCAGGGTTTGTGGTTCTAAAGTAAAACACACATGTTTAGAAGTACAGCCTGTAACTTAGAGAAAAAAATTCACATTTATTATATTTATTGTGTTAAAAAAAAACCTACAATAAGACAATAAACTTGCATTTGGCTTATTGCATCACACATCATCTTTGGAATATATTGAATAATTTGTCTAAAGTATTGTCATTCAGGGAGAATGTCAAGCTCCACAAAATATTTTAAATAAGCTATTCCTCCAAAATGAAAACAAATGTGTTTTAAGAGATTGAATTTGAATTTGAGATGGAAAATAGTGCACTTTAATACCTTGTATTTTCTTCAACATAAATGTAGGGCTACTAAGGGCTAACATATTTGGGCACTTTCTTTAGTCACTCTTTAAGGACTCACTCTAATCCTGTTGTGCATGTGGTAAGTTACCAGGTGTTAAAGGTAGCCATATTTTGTTAAGCTGCAATTAGCTAGACCATAGGCTACATTAGAACTCTGCAATTTTGCATTGTTTCCCAAAATTAGCTACTGAGATAACCTATAATCTCTTGAACTACTCTGGCATTACAGACTCAAGGAAAACTGAAGATCTACCTTGGGACTTTGGGTGTGGTCTTTGTCCACAATGTAAAAGATAATGGACTGGCTTCATTTGCATGTTTACTTTTATCCTGCCCTTTGACATGATAAATATAAGTAAAATGTATTCCAAATGGACAGGTGAACAGATAAAAAGGTATCAAAAATCTAGAGCACGAATTATCATATAAAAAAGATGGCGGCAAGCCCAGTGCTTACAGTGCTCAAAGGTGTAAGGTAAAAGCAACAGTGTCACTTCCTAGAAAATACAGCAAGAGATAATTTCTTATGGTGAATGCCTAAGAATGGATGGGATCTGACTAGTACTTCCTAAGGACTATCTTAGTGACAGAATATAGATTTCACCCTACCATAGAACTTAGAGAGTAGAGATTTGAGGTGAATATTTCCAATTTGCCCTTTATACAAGAACTCATCTAAACCTTCTTGAAGTGATTTCTAATTTTACTCCTATGGATTTCTTAGAGTAGATGAAGTGAATCTTTTTTCTATTCTGATTCATTGATCTACATTTTAAAAGGAAATTCTGATGTGGACACAAGTAAAAAGTACTAGTTTTATTTTAAATATATATATAAAACCACTAATAATCCAATATTCTTTATTAAGGAAACTTTATCTTTGTTTAATAGATGCAACACATTTTGAAATGCATCATTTTATAGGAATTAAGAGGAAAAACAGTTCTGGAAGAACAGGAAGAAAAAACAATGAGAGATATAAAAAAGCTTTAATGGTGAAAAGTCAGGAGAATAGCTCATAAGTAGAGAAATTGAGAAAGATAAAGAAAAGAAAATGGAGAAAGAACAGCAAGAGAAAATTTCAGAAGTCCTGATAACAGTTAGAGATAAACTAATTCTTCTCAGTCTGGTATATACTGAGCTGTGTGCCTCAAATGTTTGTTAAATCATTGTCTTTTGAAATATTTACTAGATGCTGAATCTCTAAATTAAACATTGTCTGGATATTTTTTCTCAGTGCAACATTTAATCACTGAGACCAAGGATACCTCCAAGGTCATGGACAAAAATCAGATGAAACCAAACCAGACCTAAGCTAGGTGAGAGGTTTCCTACTTCATTAAAAGTCATAAGTTCCAAGCACACAATCTTTATTTGCAAAGAAGATCCGCCCACCATGGCCCTCAAACCTTTATCTTCACACTTTGCCTTACATATCTCCAACACTGGGTTATAGTGAATAAATCCCTACTTTGGGCTGTCTATATCTTATCTGACCTACCTGTACTTGGCCTTTGTTCTTAAGACTGGAGTCCCATTTTATTCAGTCTCTAAGAATACCAGTACCTTTCATTTATTTAGCCATATCTGTAGACCATGTAATCCTCACAACAATCATGAAGTAGCTATGATTTTTGTCTTCATTCAACAGATTTATAAACTGAGACAGAGAGAGCAAAATTGCATCTAGCTTATGTACAAGGTAATTCATTGAGGAAATACAAACTACGAAGACAAGAGAGACAACTGACAGGTAACTAAGAGGGAGAGAAGACCACTCCTTGCAAACAATTCCAAATGGTGGTTACTTCCACATCATACCTAAGAATAATGGACAAGAAGGGGAAGAATGGCTTTTTTTTTTTTTTCCAAATAGCTTAGGCTCTGGGACGTGAGTGCACACTTCTTTAGGTTTCTAAATGGAATGAACGAGTAAAAAGTGAATGTATTTGTATTAGTTAGGTAGCGTTCCATTGTAAGTTACCTTCCTGAAATACCTTTGGGTAATCCATACCAGTTAAAGAATTACCAATCCACCTCTCCTCTAACTGCACAAGCAACTAAGAGGATTTACTAACTCGGACTTTCTTCTCTTCTCCAGATTTTAGCCATCGTATCTATCCTGTTCATCGTACTCTCCACCATCGCGCTGTCTCTCAACACGCTTCCGGAGCTTCAGGAAACGGATGAATTTGGACAGCCCAACGACAACCCCCAATTAGCCCATGTGGAAGCTGTGTGTATCGCCTGGTTTACCATGGAGTACCTTTTACGGTTCCTGTCCTCGCCAAATAAATGGAAATTCTTTAAAGGCCCACTAAATGTCATTGATTTGCTGGCCATCTTGCCATACTATGTCACCATTTTTCTTACGGAGTCCAACAAGAGCGTGCTGCAGTTCCAGAACGTGAGGCGGGTAGTGCAGATCTTCCGAATCATGCGCATCCTCAGGATCCTGAAGCTTGCCAGACACTCAACAGGCCTGCAGTCTCTGGGGTTCACCCTCCGACGGAGTTACAATGAGTTAGGCTTATTGATACTCTTTTTAGCTATGGGGATAATGATTTTTTCCAGCCTGGTATTTTTTGCTGAGAAGGATGAAGATGCTACCAAGTTCACCAGTATCCCAGCATCGTTTTGGTGGGCTACCATCACCATGACCACTGTAGGCTATGGTGATATTTACCCAAAGACATTATTAGGCAAAATTGTGGGAGGCCTCTGCTGTATTGCCGGGGTTCTGGTGATCGCCCTTCCGATCCCGATCATCGTGAACAATTTCTCTGAGTTTTACAAGGAGCAGAAACGCCAGGAGAAGGCAATCAAAAGGAGAGAGGCTCTTGAGAGGGCCAAAAGGAACGGAAGCATCGTTTCTATGAATTTAAAAGATGCCTTTGCTCGAAGTATGGAACTGATAGACGTGGCCGTGGACAAGGCAGGAGAGTCAGCCAACACAAAGGACTCGGCTGATGATAACCACCTCTCTCCAAGCCGGTGGAAGTGGGCCAGGAAGGCTCTGTCAGAAACGAGCTCCAACAAATCTTATGAGAATAAGTACCAGGAGGTTAGCCAAAAAGACTCCCACGAACAGCTGAACAACACTTCTTCCTCCAGCCCACAGCATCTGAGTGCCCAGAAACTGGAGATGCTATACAATGAAATCACAAAGACACAGCCTCACTCTCACACGAACCCAGACTGCCAAGAACAGCCCGAGAGGCCATCTGCGTATGAAGAAGAGATAGAAATGGAAGAAGTAATCTGTCCGCAGGATCAGCTGGCCGTGGCACAGACCGAGGTCATCGTGGACATGAAGAGCACCTCCAGCATCGACAGCTTTACCAGTTGTGCCACCGACTTCACAGAGACTGAGAGATCGCCCCTGCCACCTCCCTCCGCTTCTCACCTGCAGATGAAGTTCCCACCGGATCTCACTGGGATAGAAGAGCACCAAAGAGGCAGGGGACCCCCATTTCTAACACTAATCAGAGAGAAAGGGGCTGCGACCAGGGATACCGCTCTGGAGTATGCTCCATTGAACCTCGATGCTAGTGGTTCCCAAAGTGGACCTCATGGCCCTCTGCAGTCTGACAGTGCCTCTGACAGCCCTAAGAGCTCCCTCAAAGGCAGCAACCCACTTAAGTCCCGGTCACTCAAAGTGAACTTTAAGGAAAACAGAGGCAGTGCACCCCAGACTCCGCCCAGCACAGCCAGGCCACTGCCCGTCACCACAGCTGACTTTTCCCTCACCACCCCTCAGCTCATCAGCACCATCCTCTTGGAAGAAAACCCCGCCCCAGGAGACAGACCTCTGCTGGGCGCTGAGGTTTCAACACTTTGTCAGGGACCTTCCAAAGGGCTGACCCCTCGGTTCCCCAAGCAGAAACTGTTTCCTTTCTCGAGAGAGAGGAGGAGCTTCACTGAAATAGACACAGGCGACGATGATGAGTTCTTGGAGCTCCAAGGGACAAGTCAGGAAAAGCAGGCAGGCTCCAGCCCAAATTGCTTTGCAGATAAGCCTAGTGATGGAAGAGACCCTTTAAGAGAAGAGGCCTGTGTGGGCTCTTCCCCTCCCCAGGACACCAGTCACAACTGTAGGCAAGACATTTACCATGCTGTGGCTGAAGTCAAAAAGGACAACAGCCAAGAAGGTTGCAAAATGGAAAACCACTTGTTTGCCCCAGAAATTCATTCCAACACAGGAGACACAGGTTATTGCCCCACACGTGAAACCAGCATGTGACTAGTTATAAAAGCAATAAAAAAACAAAACTTGTTTCTTAAAAATGAGGTTAATAATGCCTGTGAAATAAAACATGGAAAGCCCCGCCCCCCACAAAAATTGCATAAAATGTTATTTTTGCATGGCATGAACAGTTTAGTCTAAGTACTGTTTAAATAAAAGTCGAGACTGCATTTTGTAACAAACAAACAAAATGACTGAAGAACAGTGAACAAATAAAGAGAGCTCTATTAGGAACCAATATTCTGCAATGTCTGACATTTTTGATCCTTTCATTTCAAATTGTAGTCAGATTTTCAACTTTTAATTTTTATGTTACAATGAATTTTAGAATTTGCACATGAAAGGATGAAATGTCATTGCATGCATTCATAATAATGAGGAGCAAGGTGCTTTGAGCTTGCAAGAGACCTAACTTTGTAAATAATGGGGCCTGGGATGCAAAGTGTCAAGAACACAAGGAACAAGTTTCTGAAACACAGGTACTTCCTTCACAGCTACTGTCTGGAGGAGCTGTACAGACTTCTTGTTGCAAAATTGCAACCTCTTCTTAAACCATCTCACCTATTTTGCTTTGGGTTATAAAGCTCTTAAAGTACATTTATTTAAAGGAATACAGTATTTTTATTTACCTGTGATCTAATTCATAGTGTACATTTTTTCATTTTTGCTCGTGCTTAGTTGTGCACTTGTGGTTTTATTTGTAGGCCATGAAAATAGGTAAGATTTAATGACCAGATCTCAAAAAACTTGAAATTTTGCCAATCAACTATACAACATGCCATGGCCCACTACAGAAATGCATTTTTTTTTTACCTGAAAACACTTAAAAGATTATATCATGAAGTTATGCCTTTTATTTTTTAGTAGCACTCCACATTTGAAAATCAGGTCTTTAAAAAAAATTTGTATGTTGGCCATCTAAAGATGATTTCATTTTCCACTTGTATACAACATATCCCTTTTGATCTAAAACTGTAAAGATAGAATGCAGGTATGCTAAAATGAGATTTCTAAAAGGTGATTTTTTGACAAACTAAAAGCAGAGCTATGTGAGGCTACCATCTCCTCACAGATAGAGTTGGGGTCATAAATGAGTTGCCATAAAAAGCACCCTGAGCTGGCAATGAGTCACCCAGTATTTTCCCATGTGGGAAGGGAATAGGGTGCTTGGGGTTGGGGGCACAGATGCCAGTGTTGCCCTCCAGTAATTGCAGCAACTAAAACCTTGCACACCACTCACAATGTCCCCAGCCCCCACATTTCTAATGTCCCAAAAGGAAGCCACTCCCGGCATTTTTCTGTAAGACCAGAGGAGTTAGGAGATTTGCTGACGGTTTCCTTTTGGCAACTTCTGAACTGTACACAGATTGTTTGAATCCATTTTGCTTTATGAGAAATGAGGGCTCTGATTCCAGATATTCACCAATCAGTTGTGTTATCTGGATGAGCTTCAAAAACTTAACTTAGTCTCAGTTTTAACCTTCCCTACCAAAACAAAATTATTTCTCAGCACCCATAAGATTTCATAATAAATTAATTAGTAGTCTCTCAAGTTTTGCCTCAGCATAATGCAGATTCTGTGTGTGTGTGTGTGTGTGTGTGTGTGTGTGTGTTTCAGGTAAAAGGAAAAATCTGGGCCACATTTAAAGCTCCACTTTTGTCTAAAGAAAAAAAAATCCTGAATTTTATACTATTTTTAAAAGAAAAAAATGGAAAACCCCCAAATATTTAGAATTTAACTTAAAAGTTTTCAGGAGTAACATTTGTTTATTAACAGAATCTGGTCATTATATCTCAGATAAGAAAAGTTTTGCTCTTTGTTAAAATCCGAGCAATTCTACTGCTAAAAATAATGGTAAACATTTTTTCACTGTGCTTAGGATTTTTTAATGGCTTTCATATATGTCTCAAAACATAACCTTTAGGAGTTTATGGTCATTAATCAATGATATTTATGTTACTCATACTTATTTCAGTCTAAAACTAAATGTTGATCAGTGTTTGTAAATTTAGTGTTTGAATTTTCTATATATAGTTTTTCAAATCAAACAGGTATAACTGCTGTTAGATGAATAGCAAATAACTTCTAAAATCATTGTCTTTACATAGTTTTAGAAGCAATTATCTTCTGATGTCTCTGTATTGATGAATTTTGGTTGTTTGATGTATCTGTCTGCACAGGTGGACTTGTTTTATTGCCCTGATGGCTCATGCATGGGCATCTGTCATGCGTCTGGGAAGCTGTCCACTGAGAACCCTGCTTCAGAATGTTTAATATTAGAAATTTCTCCTACATAAAGAATCCTAGACATTCCCACACACGCAAACCCTGGGAAGCATTCTCCCCTTTAAAAAAAAATTTTTTTTTAATTTTTTAATTAAAGAATTTTCAAGACCAACCCCTGGAAAGATTAACCTTCTTTTCTCTTTAACCCTCCTGAGCCAGAAGTCGTCTGCTATAACAAAAATTAAATCCTCCTCTAAAAATATCTGTCTTTGGTGTTCCACAAGGAGGAGGTTTAGGAATTGAGGGCTCTCAGGAAGCACTTGTGGAGACCCTCCTAAATTTTTTCCATGAACTACACCTACCACAGAGCATGTGTGCCTGGAATGCTCTGTAATATACAAAGCACAGCATTCTTTTGAAATCTTATGTTGTACACTAAAAATTCATGTAAATGCTGCATTTTACTCCAAACCATGTTTTAATTAAAAGACTTTTTTATCATTGATCAACTAGTAAAAATGGATACTTCAGAGACCTTTTTTGTACCATCTTGAAATTATATCCCCATTTTGAGAAGCATTGCATGAAAGGTAGGCACAGAGATTGATATCCCAAGGCACACTCATCGTTACCAGGCTCAAGACTAGGAACATCAGTGAGTCAAAACTATTTCAATGAATTCAAAGTAATGCAGTCTCAGGATTGATTAATTCAATTCTTCTGGCACTATTAAAAAGTAGTATGAATTGCCATGAGATTACTTTGCACAAAGATTGAGATCGACCATGGTGGATAGAAATGGGTACATGGACCTATGTTATAGGTTGGGTCACAAATACAAAAGTGACATGTCAAATAAATGCCTGAGGTTGACCTAATTCGTCTCTAAATATTTCGCTTGGAATTTCTCCAGTCTGGCACAAGCAACCAGTTTGAAGCAAACATTTAAATCAAGCATTATCTAGATTTGGTAACAAATCAAGCATATGACTAGATTTGGTAACAAAGAGAATATGTGCCAAGTGTCTGTTCCCATTTCTTGTCAAAACAGTCTCACTAGCTTGTAGACACAGACTGAGGAAAGTCAACAGTTTAGCTATTTTCTCTTGGAATTTGAATGGCCAAAAAAATAAAAAAGAAAGAAAAGTAAAAGAAACCTTATATATGGAGCGATACAGAGAGTACTTTATAGTTTCTTGTTCCAATTAATCCTCATAAGAGGTTCTGATATTAGGTATTACTTATCAATAAAGGACCAAAGAAGTTATGTATTTTGCTCCAGTTCGTACAGATCACAGGGGAATAGTAGACCCTGATCTCATCCATACTCTCTGGCTTCAATCCAACATTGCAATATACTACAGTATATGCTTACTTCTTTTTTTTTCTGTTAATATCAGAAGTATGTAAATAAAACTGGAAGTGCATTTGCAATCTGTTTTAAGCAGCAGTAGATTCTGCCAATGGTAGTAACTGAAGATAAATGACAATGACATCTTTAGCATATACGCCGGCCAATTTAGAATTTCTGGTCATAAAATAAAATCCCTGTGTTTAAGAGAGGACTTCACTTGTACTATAACATGACATATACATTAAGAGGAAAGTTGAAAGAAGGCACTTGATTTTCTGAAATGTAAACAAGCAGAACTTTACAACTATTTATTTCTAAGTTTAAAAAAATGTGTAATTGAATTTGTCATTTCACTTGTTCATTCAGTCAGCAAATACTAGAGAAGTCTCCTATATGTTATAGAAGTCACTATTCTTGGGTCTTGGGTAAAACCCCTGACCTCATGTAACTTATTTCCTTATTCATTGTAAACAAAGCTAAGGATCATTTTGCTTTTTGAAAAATGTCACTTCTGAGTTGAGAAAAACCATTCAATTGTCAAACCAGGGAAGCATATGACAAAAACAAGTGAAATGTTCTTCCAATTAACTTTTTTCCTAAGGTACAGGTATATGGTATAAATGGAAGACATGCATATTTAATTTTGAATCACAATTTAGATTTAAAGATAACAATGAGATAACAAACTTAATCTGATTGAGTAAAATTATGATATTTATTTCCTGACTCACAAATTGAAAAGTAGGTTTTCTGTTAGATATATTGCTTGTCAAAATGACTAATAATTATCTATCAATATCCATAAAAGAGCTTACAAAATACTTTAATATTCCAATAGTGTTGATGGTTATATGGTTAAATACAAATCACTTCAATGATTTTTCTTCTCCCTACTTACTGTAGGAAACACTTTAGCAAGGTATCACTATTTTTTTTGTAGTTCTCTGAATTTCAAAATGAAAGCTACTTAATATTAAATATTCAAAAATTACTTAACTTGACTCAAAAGGATTTATTCACTAGATCCATGTGAATTTGAAAATATCATAGGTATTGTTTTCACTGCCAGTATTTCCACACAACCAAACTTTTAAAAAAAAAAGAGAGAAAGACTACTAAAATGGAAATATCAAAGGCTCATCTCTAATAAAAAAGAGAAAAGATCAAAACTCCATAATCTTGATGAATACTCTGTTTCTGATAATAGTGCTTATTGTAATGCAATGCTTTCCTTCAGTAAACTCAGTAGCCATTTCATCTACTTGCTTTTTTAAACAACTTGACTCAATTGCATAAATCTTTCTTTACCATTGTCATTAGTGCATAATTTCTTCATTAAATTTAAAATGGCTTTAACCTGTAAGTTCACATAAATGAAGAGAGGTGGGGAGTTCTTTTTAACAAGAAGACAAGCCATTATGGCAGTGAAAGATACAAATCCAAAAAAAAAATGAAGTCTAAGAAATATGTATAGCAAACCAAGCAGAGAAATTTATATTAGGTACATATATATATATGTATGTATGTATGTATATATATATATACACTTGTATAAAACTTAGACTTAGTACTTAGCATTAACATGAAATTTATAATTGCAGTCATAATTCCAACTTTACTAGCTCTACTGAAAAAAATGTTTATCATCTAACAGGGA